AACAATCTCGATCGGGCGAAAACGTATGTAGCCCATATCCTCTACTGGCTCGTTCTGAGAAGAGACACCTTTGGCGGTGTACAATATCTCGGTTCCCTTCTCGATATTTTGTCTAGTGCATGTCACCCTGAAGCTTTGCGGAGAGATGCCAAACGACTTGATTAAGGCATCGCGCCTGTTTCAGAAACAATGTTAGAAGGGTGTATATACTAACGATATGACTGGATCAATGTTGGCTACTCACCACTGTCGAGCCAACTGCCCGAAACCATCGTCCTGCCACCACTGACTGCAATCGGCGTCGATTGATAAACCAAGAGTTTTGCTCCTTTTGATTGACTCCAGAGTGAGCCGCCGTTGCTCACGGCAGCGAGAGCCGTTCATTCCCAAGCTTCCATGAACACTGATGCTGTGAACGTTGGCCGGCGGTCGAGGCATATTGGCGCTGTTGTCGCAACTCATGCCACCAGCCGGGGGTATCGAAGTAAAAGGCGGCCCAAAACCAACAAGTCGAAGATAAAATCTCGGATCGCCGTTAATAAAAGTCGAATAGGGTAACGCGACTTGAAGACAATGAAAATGTGAGAAGAAACTCCTGAAGTCGGAAACCAAGGGCTGGGAGTGGGTGAAGCAGAGGCGAGTTGTTCGTTCCTCTAGACTCGAGGGGTAAAAGAAACGAATAGATGAGAGGGGCAGTAATAATTCGAGTCACAAGTCAACAACAAAAATTATCATGGGCGGTGTGATGAAAGTAGGGCAAACGGATCGTGCCTTCCTTGACAGGTGCTCCTTCCCGGCAGCACAACTTCTTCCGTCGTCGTCCAGGCAGGCCACCCCCGCCATTTGCGTGTATCTTGGAGAGGGTATCTCACGGCCACTGCTTTCAACTTAGGTATCGAATATTTTATCGCTTCTTCTATGGGGCCTTTGATGCCGGGCATATAGGGCTTACGGGGAGAGATTTTTAGCTCCTGTAACTCGGAAGTCGCAGCAACTGTCACCTCCGAAAACAGGGCATCTCTATCTGTATTCTCTAAATATTTACCTGATCTTCATCACCACCAACACAGCTGTATCGCGTCCGCGGTCATGTTTACAAGAACTCAATAAGGTACCTGAAGAAGCCTAAAGTAAAGATGAGACAATCAGGATCGGGCGGTAGAAGCTACCTGAAATGGCTTTGATATGCAAGATGCGAGTAAAGAAAGTTTACCGCAGTCTGCGACCCCAGTGAATTCCTACATACCATTCAGCACGAGACAATCTGTTCTCTGAAAGATTTAATTACTCATAACCTCTAATACAAGATACGGTCCCTCCCCTTGACTGTAGATTTGCCCTAAAACTCCTCGCCTCTTCCCATACAAAACTCCAAACGACATACATCCAAATAATTGTTCCCATTGTAAATCCTTGATATCCCACTACTCCCTTAAACCAGCATCCCTTCTCATCTTCACTTGATGCAAAACCCCCAGTAAAGGATCTCCGAAACGAATGTTTTATGCAACCTCTACTTGCCCTGACGCAGTTAGGGGCTCGGGCTCTCTGATTTGATGGTCCTCTGTCTCTTCCGGGACGGTGGTACAGGCACCTGTCTCCTTCCTCAGGAAGATCCCCCCTGGTAATCACTACTAATAAGCCCAATTGATCTCAGAAGCCGCTGAACTCTGTTAGGACCATGGTTGGGAATCACCAAGATTCCTTTGGTGCCACTGCTGTCGCGTCCCGTGGCATCAAAGAACCTGGAAGAAATCAGGAGTGCAGGGTCGAGGCTGGGCAGTTCGTCTCCTTTCTCTACGTGGCGGGTTACGAGTCAGCGTTTAGATCGTGTTTTGATAGGTAAATGTGCACGGTTTCAGAGTACAGAAACAAGGAGTGAAGAACTTACCAAAGAGAACCACGGACGGACGTGGTCTTTGCGGAGGCATAGGCACCGGTATGGACGTCGGTACGTCAGTGGTAAAGCTCTCTGACACGACGAGGAAGGAACCTGGATCTTTGGAGGTGTGCATAACAAATACACATTGCTGTACTGGTAGCAGGTCTCTCATCGTTACTTCAGACCCCCCACTGAATGTTTCTGTCTGGATTGGGCGAGGACCATGAGGGACTTCCAAGTCGCTTGCAATGAGATCTTGCTCGTCAGCAGTGATGTCAGCGGAGCGAAAAAGCTTGACCGAGATTGAGCTAGCCATCGGGCCCTTCCACTTTATCGTCAAGTTGACTGAAAGCCCCGATCTACCAGACGGAGACTGCGAGTGCGTAAACTGGCGTAGGCGTGTATAGTTGAGCAGCCGCTGATCTGTGCGGCGCACCTCCTGCCTGCGAAACCAAGAGGGACTTCGTCCTTCTCTAGACCAGCCTTGGAAGGAACTATCGGGGAGTTGTTTAAGGGCGTCTTGGAAGAGATTTCCGACAGCATAAAACAACAAGTCTGCTTCGACTAGTTCCTCCGCTTCAAAACCAAGCTCTTTCTCTGCAAATGCTTGCTTGAGCCACTGGTCATGGACCTTGATGGTAGACTGCCGTTGGTATACATAAATGTGTAGACTCAGTTGCCCTGCCTCAACAAACTCGATCTTGTAGTTTCTGGTCTGGGGGCGAGCCCGGAAAGATGCACGCAATAGCCGGAAGATTGACTTGGAAAAGGTGCTGTTTAGTTCCCGCCGTGAGACTGGCGCGCGCTGGAACCGACGCTGTTCTTCCTCCTCAGCCGTGTGGAGGAAGCCATAATACGTTAGGATTTCCCAGTAGTCGCGGGAAAGCTTGACCGGCGTGCGCCCTAGTCCTTCCACAACAAGCTTGAATCGTTGATTCTGCCCAAGTTCAAGTGTTAGTTTACATGTCAAAATATCAGTTCCCAACCGTCAACCCTTACCTTGATCTGCTCGTCCGGTTGGAAATACCAGTTCTCCCGGAACCTGTCGCTGCAAAGAAAATGCTTGAGCTTTCTCGCTGTCGCTTTTTCCAGGTAGCTTGACGCTTGAGCAACATCTGCGTATTCTAAGGAGACAGATTGCGCATTGAGCATCTCGCTGAGTGCCTCCACAAGATCCGGCTTGACAGCCAGAATGCTGTTCCATATCCGCCACATCGCCTCCGCTTCCTCTGTAGCAGTCGTCATGGATTGCCTCTCCCGGTTAGTGGTTCCTGCCTTGAAATCGTAACCGAATCTGAGCCGTTTCCCAGTGACGCTGGCCGACACCCTTTTCGAATCTTTCAGGAGCAACCCTTTCAGAAATATGCACCCAGAAAGCCGCGGACTTGTCAGCAAACTCCCCCGTCTCGTGGCAACGATCTCGTTGTCCCCCACCTCTTGAAGAAACAATGCCGATTCTGCCCAGATCCGAAACGTGTCGAGCGGAACGGCCCTGCGCCAGACCGGAGCACCATTCTCATTCCGGCCTGAAACTACCTCCCCAATTGAGAACTGAACGTCATCCTGGCAACTGGGGGAAAATGGGAGCAGCGAGAATCTCTCGACTCCTGTTTGCTTGCTTCTTCCTTGGCGTGGACACTCGCAACAGTCATGCGCTCAAGATGAGCCGAGAGCTTCCCCTGCGCTGTGAAGTCAAATGTCCAATCGAAGCCCCCGGACACGCAACGTATGGCAAAGTTCTGGGGTCTCCGCATGAGGATAAGCAAAGCGACCTTGAGGCCTTCTCCATGCGCGCCTGCCTGCGAGCTGTCCTTGGCTTTGCTGGTCCCGCCCAAGTCGAGATGCCACGGCTGAAGTTTGGTGCGACGGTTGACGATCTCGACTTTGCCTTCCTTATTGCTCCCTCTGTAGCGTATGTAGCCCAAGCACTTGTTCGGACGGGCCCTGGAAGAAGAGTCGACGGCGGTGTACACGATCTCCAACGCTGCCCCGCTCGTCTGTCGTTTTTCAGTCCGGGTGACTTTGAAGTTATCCTCAGCAACATCAAAGGACTTGATGATGGCGTCCCGCCTGGTTGAGATGATACATTAACAACCTCCTTTTGATATGATTTTTTTCCGTACTCACCAGTTCTGCACCAGCTCGCGAAACGCTTCCCTTTGTTCCCATCTAGTGTAGCTGGCGCGAATAGGGAAGTTGATGGTTTTGCTCTGCCCGATCGAGTCAAGAGTTTCCCTTTGATTGTCATCACCCTCATCAATGTATTCGACATCGGACCAACTGTCGTAGTCAAATTCTGCCCCGACCTGGGGATAAACGTCCCAAAAAGACATCTGGTTTATCGCTCAGATAAACTTCGGTATTCCGTTATGAGAGACACACCGAGTGTCGCGAAATAGACGAAGGAGAGCAGACGAGTGTTTCGCAGTACCTTCGTTGTTTAGGAAGGGGACAGACGAAGCGATCTTCAACAAAGCTGCAATTGAAGACTGGAGGTTGCGGCTTTGCATTCGCGCAAGAATAGCCCTCGCTGCCGAGACCGGTTGAAGAATGGATATTGATAGAAGGTGAAGGTAGTGGGGAGATTGGGAAGAGTATACTACAGCAGTAAGAATGTGTGCAAGTAATTTCTGGGGGATAGCTACCTTTAAATATCTAGCGGGTTCTTTCTTTACTAAGTCTCTATAAGCGGCTACTTTAACGTTCTCTATTATGCCCTTCAATGATGGAATGCTATTTACTCATGAGTATTTTGGCTTAAATCTGTTCTGGCCGCCACCATCTCTTTGAGCTTCTATATGGTAACTTTTCACAAATGAAAGTCGACCTACCTGTGGGAACAGTATCTAGCAACAAACATCCAACTATGTACCTAATTGTCTTTTGATCTCTTCATTAGCTTGCTATGTGGTGAATCTCATGTACATTCATCTTTTACTCTACTTATCAACCTAAAAGTCTGTAGCGTCTAGCCTACACAAAAAAGTCATCGCCAAGTGCCAGGATCACTAACAAAAGACTACATACCGCCCCCATAGTGTGATCCTGGGCAAAACACATTCAAAGGACACTTACAGATAGCAAGTAACATGTAAAATGTATAATGAGGCAAAAAGATCGACCATGCTGGGACTCGAACCCAGAGCCTTTACCAGCTGGTGATTTAACTTATTGGACAAGTTAAAACCGGAAAGTAACGCGCTACCATTGCGCTACACAGCCTTTGGATGACACTATTCCTAGATCATGAGCTCAAGAGCGCTAGGCTCTGAAACGCACAATGTACCAAAGGTTTTCTTCCCTTCTAATTTGATTGGGACAGAGAATTTGCTATACATAGTCTTTTCATTTGCTAGCAAAATGCTTGAAGCAGAAAGTCACAATATGTCGAAAGAAGGTTGGGACTCGGATACCGGAAAGGATACCGGAAATCGAACCCGTTGCTGTTGAGAGATTTCAGAACTGAATATAAACAGACACTTCTAAGAAATGAGAGTCAACGATGTTACCGCTACACCATACCCGATTTTGGAGTGTGGTTTCCGATTTGGACGAAAGTCTGAAAAAAGAGACGGGGGATATGAAGTAATGGGAACGGGATTGTACGGATATCATGACTCGGCTGAAAGTTTCCCCCAAGGGAGAAGGCACCCCTTGCTCTGCGCCTATGGGGATTAATTCTTTCAAGTCAAACCGATACTAAATTCTAAATATCGCCCTCTGAAACTCCAACAAACACCACCAACACCGCCGCATATGTTGCTGTGGCTATCAACGTCTCTGTGTTGCCTGCCTTGAAAAAGATGGAGAGGGCACGAGACTAAATTGGTGACATGATGCCTGGACTACCTTATCTCATCCTTGTTGAAACCGTGTATTCGGACTGGCTGGAAGTACCTGTCCTGAGTTGTTCCTGCCCTCCTGATTGAATAATATGGAAGAGGGCGAGGAAGGTGTGTTGCTCCTGCCTTGATCACTTGGAAAATGAAGAAGGAAAGTGCGAAGGATGACGACTGCACTTTTCAACATCCCATTACCCCATTACCCCATTGTCCCTTTTCACCTTTTCCTCATCCGCACCCTTCCAAAAAAAGGCCGCCTCAAAGATTTCCGTCGCTTCATACAACAGAGAACAGTGACCATCCAAAGGACAGAATTCTTGTGCAAAAGAAGGGGACAGAATGTGGCATCACTCAGACTCTTGATCATCACGCCTCCAGAAATATACCCCCCTCCCATTTCCCTGCCCCTTGATTTCCACTTCCGCCTCCTCGTCCACCCCCATCTTCTCCGTCACGCCCTCTTCATGCGAATCAACACCAGGCTCATCCCTCCAGATCTCAACCGCCTGAGCATACACTTCGAGAGCCCCCTTCCCTCTGACCACCATCGCAGCCACCCTTGCTGCCTGATCAAGATCACCAACCTCAAACAGCACCCTTTTTGGTTGAAGGACACTGATTATCTCGAGGAGACGGGCGTAGAATACATCTTCCGGCTCACAATCGTATTGCTCTGCAGTTACCTGGGGTACCAGAGCGAGTTTGGGTTCAAAAAGGCGAACTGAGCGCTCCGTGGTTGTGTTGAAGCCATGAGAGGAGATGTAAGGGGGGTTAGACACTAGGATATCCAACTCGCCGGGTTTGTACCCTAGTGATGGGACAAAACCGGGACTAAAGATGTCTGCTTTGGTGAAGTTGATGGATTTGGAGGCAGAGGCAGGGAGGTGGCTGAGAGTGATATTGTGGGTTAGGTTTTCCCTTGACAGAGAAATGGCTTGAGGAGAGATGTCGACTCCTGATATTTTGGTGCTGGCGGGTAAGAGGGAGGATAGTAGGAGGGGGATGCAACCTGTGCCAGTGCAGAGGTCGAGGATCTTTAGGGGTTGGGATGAATGGCGGGGGAGTATGGAGTGGAGGTGGTAGATCAGTGATTCTGTTTCTGGTCTTTAAGATAGGACAGTTAGTTTGGGAGTCCAGGGGCTGTTGAAAGGGAATGGGAACGTACCGTGGGATAAGAACGCCTGGTCGGCAAAGGATCTCAAGTGGGCCGAAGGGTTGTGTGCCAAGAACGTATTGCAATGGCATCCCTCTGTCTCCTCTTTTGAGACAAGCTTGCCATATTCTCAATCTCCGGGGCACAAGGGACTTGGTTGAGTTGACGTGCTGTTTTATCCAGCGGAGCTCATTGGCGGTCGAGTCAAGAGTTCGGCAGACGGGCAGGAGCAGGGGAGCAAAAGGGGATATCTGTTTCCGCGCTCTCCAGAAGAGAGATGGCGGTAATCGGGGCATTTTGTGCTTGGAGGTGTTCGTAAAATGTCGTGAGAATCAGGGCTGGTGTAAGAACTGGCATGAAGGGTCGGATGGCGAAATGTGAGCAAAGTTTTCAGCTGACTCTCACAGAGTGTCTTACGATCTGAAAGATCTTAAAATATACGATTAAATAATCATTTGATACTGAAATTGATCACAGTATATTTTCATGTCCTCGAAAGGATGTGAACTTGTGTTGCGATCTGACGAGGTGAAATATCACATTATCCAAATATACTCGGATAAATGCATATCTCACAGCACCAGAACCGTCGACATCGATTGGCGCAACAAACCCCATCTATTATCTCCAGCTTAGTAGGATGTGATGACGAGTCATCATGCGACGAGATTCACTAACAAACTCCGTCTTTCCGAGTCAAGACGCCCTAACCGCCCAGCCATTCTCTCACCATGATACTGCAACGCCTGGCTCAGGTGTGCGCCAGACCAATAACCCTGAGAGGGTTTGCGACCAAAGCGAAACCACCATCATTCCCGACAACGCCGACATGTCCCTCACCAACATGCCCCTGCGCACCCACCCCCGAGTTTCCCGAGGGCTTTGAGATTGACCACAAGACAAATATAAATGGGCTCATTTCAAACTATGCGCAACATGTCCTAATCTGCACGGGCAAAGATGACTGGCCATCTCGCATCGAGGATGACAATAGCGGGGATAACCTCGCTGCTGACCTGCGCGAGCTAGTTGGTCGTGGGGGCAAGTTCAATGATGTGTGTATTCCTCTTCGATGACTTGAGACTTACATATGAATGCTAAGCTATGAATAGCCCTTTCACAACATCTCAGTCCTCAACTCTTCCTTCCCCTCATCGCCGGGCCCCAAGTCCCGGCCTGAGCTGCAAACAACATCAGTGTACCTTCTCCCGTCATTCAAGTATGTCCCCTGGTTACCTCGTGTGTCATTTGACAGCGTCGAGGCGTTGGTGAGAGGCTTTCTCCTGCCTGAAAAGCTGCACCCAATGCACGACGGGTTATCACCTATTCACCGGGATCGTCTGCTACGGAAGCCTGGCTACCAGGGCCTGCTGTATGGCGTCAAGGACGTAAACGAGGTTGTCGTGCTGGTATGCGGACATGGTGGGCGAGATCAGAGGTGCGGTGTCTATGGCCCATTGCTGAGGGGTGAATTCGAGAAAAGGCTGCCAGAGAAGGGGATTGAGGTAGCTTCAGGGCCGGTGGAGGTGGAGGTGGACGAGACCACCAAAGCTCTGGAAGATGGTGCAGACAAGAATGATGAAGGGGCGAAGATATCGGCCAGAGTTGGCCTCATAAGTCACATCGGTGGGCATAAATTCGCGGGGAATGTAATCATTTACATACCTCCCAACCAGACTACCAAGGATGGGACGCGGCATCCGTTGGCTGGTCATGGAATCTGGTATGGGAGGGTTGAGCCGCGCCATGTCGAAGGGGTCGTTGAGGAGACCATATTACAGGGGAGAGTGGTTGAAGAACTCTTCAGGGGAGGTATTACTCAAGATGGAGAGATTCTGCGGCTTTGATAGCCATGGAATGACCTGAATGACGATGATTTTCCATTGTCGGGGCGCGAACTCGGATAGATACATACAGTGCACGGACTCGTTCTCATCCCATGTTTCCACATCTTCAATTGACAGACCCTCCACCACCTCCTCATTGACTGACTGAGCGGTCTTTGGGAGCAAAAATACAACCTGGTTTACACGGATAAAAATATTGAGAGGATGTCGGGAAGACTTCTAGCAGCGGGCTTCCGCCTACCAAGACAGGCTGCGGCGGAAGGGAGAATCGACCTCGCGAAGTTTACAAGTGTGCCACGCTCATCACATTCTCAACGATACGCGCTACAAAGGATATATACGCAAAATCACCCTGCCCGCCTCTTCCATGCCTCTATTTCTCGGCAATCTAGGTCCAGGTTTGGCCCCTCGAAGTCTAGGGAACAAGATCTGAAAGCGGCAGACGGCCAAGAGGAACTACGGCCCAGCCGGAAAGAGAAAAGGCGAGAGCGGGAAAGACGAGTCCAGGAAAGACTAAACCTAACGGAAGATGGAAAGGAGCGTTCTCAGAAGGAGCGTTCTCAGAAGGAGCGTTCTCAGAAGCAAGACCAATCCCAAAATGGTGCAAAGCAAGAGAAAACTAGGCGGGTGCCTTTCAAGGTGGTGCTCGCGGTGGGAGCTGGCTTTGTGCTTTGGCAGACATGGAAAGGCGTTTTTGCTGCCGAGCCGCTCAATGGTCAGACATTCTCACCCTTTGAAATAGTCGACCAACAGCAGATTTCCCCAACGGCGTTCATCATTACCGTCAAGCCAGTCATATCACGCTGGGATCCCCTCTCAGGTCAGGCGAAGCTGGAATGGATCGACAATCTCCAACGCGAGCTTTCGCGGGCAGGCACCTGGGCCGTGGAGATCAAGCAGCCCGAACTGCAAGTTGCTAGAGATTACACCCCCCTACCGTATGATGAGCCCAGCACTGCTCATGAGGATGGCACTCAAGACAGGGCCCGCAGCTTCTTCTTTTCGCAACCTACATCCCCTACGATGAAGTTTCTGATCAGAAAAACGGATGGCGGGGAGGTGAGCAGCTGGCTGAGCCGGAGGAAAGTAGGGGATACCATCGAACTGCGTGGGCCGCACCAAAGTTTCAATGTTGTCGCGCGCGTGGGGGCAGAAGATGGAGACAAACGGGTTGTGTTTTTGGCTGGAGGGACGGGCATAGCACCGGCTCTTCAAACCGCCAACAGCATCTTCCAAGAACACCAGCAAACTATGAAGCAGATGCCGCAAGTCGACATCATCTGGGCCAATCGGTCGAGAGAAGACTGCCGCCCGGAGAACCCCATCATCAAGCTTCTTGAGCAACTGAAACAGGAGTCCCAAGGAAAGATCAGCTATGTC